CCCCAGCCAGCATGCTGGCTGGGGAATTCTGGGAGTTGAAGTCCACATATCTTAAAGCTGCCAATGTTGAGAAACAATGAGCTAGACAAATATACCTGTTAACTATCAGCATCTGCAATTTCTGTTATCTCTGATCCTCCCGTAATTGTTACACTTGCATTAATATTAAATAACATCCAAAGCCATTTAGTGAATCCATGGCAAAGAATTTCTTAAGCATTAACTTATGTTATATACTTCCTTTTCTTTTATTGTAAAGCTTATGAATGAAATCAGAATTTTAACTAATATGTGCAGGAGATAATTTATTTAAAGATTATGTAATAAGTGACAGATGCTCAATGGTTTAACATTTAATCTTAAATTATCCACTCTCGTCCTGTTACCAGAAGCAAAAAATCATAGTTCATTAGTAAATCTAATTATTCATAGATATTTATTTGTCGATTAGGATGGTGGATATTATTTGAAAATATACTTCACCCTCCCAAAATGATTTTATCACTGATTATAGAAACAGAGCAATTTTGTGCACTTTCTACTTCCAAGTAAGTACAGTTGATTTACTTCTTGCAGACTAAGTAACTTGCATAAAAATGTTGGATGAAATTTTAGTGATGTATTTAGTCTTAATAGTTCTGATTAAAATACTAAAAAAGAAAGCTAGCCAAATAGATCATCCTTATATGCTATATACATTTACCAATAATTAATATTCATAAAATATAATTAAATATTGCATTACTGTATTAATTTCCTGTTAGTAAATACAATGATACAATTAATGCTGCTGTGATCTGAGGTTCTATTTCTAAGCTTTTTTAACAGTTTTTCTACTGAAGTTTACCAATTCAAATCTGTTACACTAATTTTTCAGGCCATGGAACTTGTTAGTGAAAGAAAATTACAGAGCCTGATATCATGAGACAGAGCTCTAGTGATAGAAAATTGGCTGTGCTTGAGTGATTTTTTTTGTCCTTAGTCTTTTGTGGAACCCCATCAAGTTCTTGCAGAACCCTTAGGGTGTCATGGAACACAGTTTGAAAAGGCAGTTACACTATTTGTAGCCTTAGCAAATGACTTTTTAAAAAATCCTCATGTTACAAAATGTTTGATTGCTCTTTCATAAAGTGGACATATTGATAGTACATATCTTTAGAATTTCAAATTAAAGTTTAAACTTTTCAAATTAACTTCCTAAAACTTCAAATGTTTTGGTACAGTTTTGTAGTTATTAGTATGCCGTTGAATAGGATTACTTAAAGCAAAGACTTTTGTACTTACTTTCGCATTCTGGATCACCACACTTTTTCTGTGCTGACAGCACCTTTGTACTCTTGATGTTTGTTAGCAATGAAAGAATTAATAGTATAAGACTGATGTCTAAAATCTTCAACATTTTTAAAAAAATGGTTATTCCTGAAATAATTTTTAAAAATGAGAGTCTTGTTAGTAGAATATCCTATTTTTTCAGTTCCTTTATTTAATTAATAGGCTTTTAAAGATAAATCTTTGTCAATTCATTTTCTTCTGTTCTTTAGACTCTGCTCCCGCAAATGCCCTTTCAGCAGTCTGTTGAGTCAGCTGTCCTGCTTTAATGATTAACAAGATTCAATACACAGATTAAGGTTTTAAGATAAAAGTGATTCTGAAAAGTGATTTAAACTACAGAATCCTGCTTTACCAGTATACTAATCTGAATATGCAAATTGTTTGTGGGCCTTGTACATTATAGGAAGAAATGTTGCCAGTGAGATTGGTGAGAACAAGTGATTTTGTTGGAGTCGTTGCTTGAGTTTTGTAGTTGTTTGAACCCTTTTCGTTCCAACTGTGTGATTGAATTTATATGTTCCATTTTACACTCTGACCCTGGGCAAGTTCACCTGGAAGTTACTCCATGTCTGGTGATTATTTATCTCAGTTAAGCATGCATAGGATTGTAATTTCAATCTAGCACTTGTTTTATTTGGTTGATTTGTTAATTATACAACATCCAAAGACACAAGCATGCATGTGCATGCACGTGCACACAAACCCACCCACACACATGTAGATATATTCAACTGATAGAGGGCAGCCATAATCCCCCTGATTGGAATAAACTATAAAGTCAGTCCATATATTTAAATATTGCAATATGCTAGACATTCTAAAATCAGAGTTATTTTATTTTTCCAATATTTACCTATACCCAGGCTAGTAGAATCCACCAAATACTGCCAGGTTTTTAGACAGAGCATCTGTATTGATCCCCAGGAATTTTTATTTTATTTTATTTAAATTTCTAGGACACTCAGTTTCAAAATGATTCTGGGTGGCTTCATGAGATTAAAAAGCACACACACACACAAATCAATATTATGGAAGGAAAAAACACAGTCATCCAAGGGAACAGAGTAAAAAACATTCTTCCTCATCATTCCTAACCTAACAGTGCAAGCTATGGACACAAATTAAATCTTTAATGTATGATTTTACCAATCTCTGAAAAAACCTTAGATCAAAAGACAACGTAGTGGTATGAACACCACAGATTAAAATATGTATCCCTTTCTCTGCAACTGTTCCAGCGGAGAAAAGAAGCTTTATTTCTTCATGCATGCTAATTTACAGAGAGTGCAATTGATTAAACAGTTCCAGAATATAGTCTCTACTTTGGGCCAAAGATGATGCCACTGGTTTCTGTTTCCATACTTTATTCCAATCTTGGCTATCTTCTGTTGCAAATCTTTTTCCCAGGACATGTTAAGACTAGTTTAGATGTTTGTTCCATAATAATATTGTAAAATTTTGAAAGAAGGCTTTTAGATGGATCTGGAATATTCAGTACCAGTGATTCAAAATTCAAATAGGATTCAGAACTATTTGCTTGGCTTTTATTTTTTGATTAAAGAAAAAAAATCTGCACTGCAAATAATACAGCAAGGAACAATCTAAGGAAGTTTCCCTGAGTAACAAAATCCTGACCTGTTTCTTCATCCTTCCTTCTCATCTGCTTCCTGTTTACTCTTCTCTCAACTGCCTTTCTCCAAGGTTCCATTCTTCTCCTATTTAAATCTGCCCTCTCATCGGTCAACCCAGAAGTTCCAAGTGATATTGCTGTCCTACAGCAGGACATTATAGTAACTGATCCCCCAAATAATGAAAGAAACAAAAAGCTCTGAACATTATATTGAAGTTTCAGGTTCAAACAAGTCTTGCTAGACTAACTTTGATCTCCTTCTTTGATACAGTTAATAGCTTCATAGATCAGGGTAATTTTGTAGATATCATGTATCTGGGCCTCAGCAAAGTCTTCAACTAAGTTTCTCAGGATAGTCTTCTTAAAATGGTAAAATGTAGATCTAAAATCTAAAATACTTTTAGATGGACTTCTAGTTGGCGGAATAACTGCATCCAAAAAGTGCTAGTTAATGACTCCATTTCAGCTTGGAGGGAAGTTCTGAGTGAAGTGCCTCAGGGCACTCCTGGGTCTTCTGCTATTGAACATTTTTATCAATGACTTAGTTCAGGGGTTCTCAAAGTACGGCCCGCCAAGATCATTTATCCGGCCCGCCCGCCTGTTTGGCTGCTGCTGCTGTCAGAAGCGGAAGTGTCGGGGCTGTGTCGGGAGCTGCAGGCGATGCACGAGGGAGATCGCAAAGCCGGACTATTCTACATGACAGGTATGCTGGGTCCAGCGGCTCTCCTCCTCTCCTCATACTCCGCAGGAGGGATCCTCTGTGTGCATAGGAATTCGTTCATGTTTTTTTCAAACTATAGTCCAGCCCCCCCAACATTGAGGGACCGTGAACTGGCCCCCCATTTAAAAAGTTTGAAGACCCCTGACTTAGATGATGGAGTTCAGACAATACTTAGACAATTTGGAGGTGACACAAAGTTCAGAGGAAAGATGCAAAAAGATGTAGAGATAGAATATTTTTAAAAACTTGGATTTGAGCAGTGGGCTGAAATTAATATGATGGTATTTAAGTGATAAATGTAAAGTTCTTTATCTAGGTATAAAAAGTGTAAGGCACAAATATAGGATGGGGAGACCTTGCTTGGCAGTAGAGTAGAACATGTGAAAAAGATCATAAGTTAATTATGTCAGCCCCATTAGGTAGACCAGACCAGGAAATCAACTCCATATGAAGGCTAAAGCTTTTGAGATTGGCTAAGTAACAGTTCCTGCCTATCCATCATCTTCCTCACTCTCTACAAATGAGCCAGCAGTGTGATGCAGCTACTAAAAAGGTACATAGTATCTTGGAATACATTAACAGGAGCATATAGCCCAGATCATGGAAATAACTGCTTCACTCTGCTGTGGTCAGACCTGTACAGTACTGGACACCAGAGTTTAAAAAGCATCATGACAAATTGGAGCAAATTCAGAAGAGAGTTAAAGGATCTGGGTGTTCAGCCTACAGAAGGGACTGAGGTGGGATATAACAGCAGACAGAATAATGGATTTAAATTACTGTACAGGAAAATTTCTGACCAAGTTATAAAAAACTTAAGTATGCCAGAAACAATTACCCAGAGAAGTGGTGGGCTTTCCTGCAATGAATACGTTCAGGTGGAAGCTAGGTGGCCATCTATCAGATATGCTTTGATTTGGATTCTGCAGTGAAGAGGGGTTTGGACTCAGTGGCCCCCTCCAACTTCATTCTGTGAAAAATGAGGGAGCAGGGGTCTTGGTTTGAGTATACTATCATCTCAAAACATTCTAAGGAACGATGGACTCCAAGGAGAATGGCATCTAATATCAACCTCCTTTCACAATCAGATTTGTATGTATTGTGTTTTGGCAAACGGTCATTCAAGTCTTTTTTTTTTTTTTTGAATGGAAGGCTGGCAAAAAATCACAGGTATCTCAATCATCTATTTGTTCCACAAGATCTACACTAGTCAGCTTTCTCAACCTACAATCTATCATTTTTGAAGGACTTTAAAGTTTGGGCACTATTTGGAATTCCACCAAAATGCCCAACTGCTGCTACATTAATATAGGAATGAGGAATAAGACATTTGGCGAGAGGACATGTATTTGCAGGATCCCATGGCTTCTTTCTCTCCCAGCTCCCACCAAAAACCTCCTGCCACACCTCTAAAGCTGACATAATTAGTTCCTTCCCAATGGAATACAGGTAGTTCTCAGTTTAAGAACGAGTTCTGTTCCCAAGGTCTGTCCTTAAGTCGAATGTGTATATAAGCTGGGACAGTATTATTGTATAATACTGTATAAGCAGTATTGTGTAATTAACTCAAACCATTGTATAGTTAACTCGAATTCTGCTATAGTAGGCTCTGTTCTTAACTATGGGTCATTTGTAAACTGAGTGTTCTTAACCTGGGGACTACCTGTGGTTAAAAGGTTAAAAAAAAGTGTGTTTCTTGCTCTTTTAATGGATAAGGCTAATATTTTAATAGTTTGAACTGTTACCAGAATTTCCATACTGACAGATGACTGATAAAGAACTTTTTATTAAATAGTAGAAAGAATACAAGCAATGTATATAAAGCTATCTTTATTTGGACTATTACAGAACAGGCTAACAAATACACTAATTTTATAAAAAGCTTAAAAACAGAACATTACTATTCCACACCAACTATACTGCCATCTATTTGCTTTATTACAAAAAGTCCAAGTTTGAGTCCAGTTTCCCCACTCAACAGGCATTTTTAAACACAACATGTTAGTCCCAAATTAACTATGCAATCCATTTATACTGTTATTTGAAAGTTGTGGGTGGCCAATAATAATCTAGCTTTACAAGGTACACATGGCATTCTTCTACTATACAGCAAAACACAGAAGTGAATGGAAATGCAATTTAAAAAAAAACTACTTTAAGTATTGTTATCCTAGAGAAAGGCAAGGTTTATGTAACTACAAGAATCACAAAACAGAATTTTATGTGTTCAGAGTAATTAGATTTAGCCTGATGTACTTATTTTGCTTTCATACATGGGTAATTATCTTAAGTAACATTAGTAAAAGCTTGAATCAAATTTAAGTGAAAGCAGACACGTGCTTCTTCATGGGATTTGGGAATTCGCTTTCTTTACAATTAAACAGGAAAGGTTAATGGGCAGAATATTAACACTCTGCATGGAGTATGCCAATAAAAGGAGAAAGTTTTCTATGCAAGATGAAGCAGCAACAGGCTCTCACAAACCTCTGTAAAAGACATTTATTTCTACAAAAAGAGACTTATGATACAATTGAATCACACAATTTTAACTATGTATCTTTTAAAATATACAGAAACTCTGAAGTAGAGGATATTTAAAAAGATGAAGGGGTTTCAATTTTTTATTTTACACATCTGCATCTTCACATAATTTGGTAAGTAACCTTTTACAAAATCATGTAAAAAGCACAATTGCCTGGTAAAGAGTCTTCAAAAGATTTTACACAGCATGCAATTAAAGCAGCCTTTTCTTCCTTACATGGACTCTTTTCACTCAAGTAATCTTCTGCTGCAAAAATTAGGCTAGGGAGCCTGGTCTCTTCTGTTAACGCCTTTTGTCTTTCCTGTCTGATTTACGGTCTCTTTCATTCCGTG